CTACAACGGGATTCAGCCGTCGTCTTCCAGTGAGATCAACCTTCGAATCTCTTCTTCATGTACTTTCATACGAAATGAAGGTATCCCAACAAGGTTATCTCAGGAAAATTTATCGAAACCCACTTACTCTTCCTATCTACAAATCTACACTCACAGCTCCGAAGCAATCCCTCTTCAGCTTCCGTTGAGGCAAACTTCCCCTAGCGAAGAGAAAGGTATTCCAACATCAATCTATTTATGGATTCTTCAAAAATCACACCTAAAAAGAAGGCAATTCAACTTATTATAAATGAAGAAAAACGGGGTTTTAAAGAAGCCCTCGGCGATTCAGTGTGACTTGACTTTTCATTCCGAAGGAAAAGATGGTTGGAGGAAATTGTGAATTGGTCTCACCAAAAACGGAAAATGGAATGAAAGAGTCCTCGTCTCCCTGTCAGTGTCACGCTGTCGTCTGTCATGTGATAGGCATATTGAGAATAAGAAACCATACTTTACGAAAAAGTGCACAAAATAGAATAAGCCAAGAAGTAATGGTGGAGGCTACAATCAAAATTAGATCACATCAGGCCACTCTTATCTCTTGGGCTATATGATTTGGTGCATATTTTCCGTAAAGCATAATTTATCGTAGAGACGATGTCTGCCACATGACAGACTAAAGGTTACCACAGGCTTATCGAGATCGCATGACGGTGGGCCAAGGACTCGCTCAATTTCTGGTGAGATGAATTCAAGGATTTTTTCGGACCTGAAACTTTTCCATCAAAATAAAAATCGAGGCACAATTTATGGCTTAACGATATTCACCACGTCTATTATGTTTGTCAGCCTGACTAGATGTACATTCAATATCACGCAATACCAGTCATACTCGTTCTTAGCTTAGCAATTCTTGATTACTTGCAACGACATTATGTTGTTTTGTAAACACCCAGAATTGACTGGAAGTCTCGTGCTCTGACATGCACACGTACAAACGCAAACAAACACAAACATAAGTACTTCGGCTGTTATGACAAAAATTTCACTTATTCAATATCAATTTTAATTTGCTTTTTTAATTTTAGGGTAAAGATGTCTATTGTTGGGGGACTTTCATTTCGTATGAAAGTGCATGAAGAAGAGATTCGTAGAAGGTATGAAGACCAAGATGGTGTAGGCCGATCTCACACTCATCAGCCCCAGTCATGACTTTCTTCGATGGGTTAAACGTTAATGACCCTAGACTGAGAGGTTAGGACAAGTGGTTTCATAATTTGACTTACATGCATACAAACTCATATCTCATTATCTCAACCTTAATTATTTACAGACTTACGCAGTCTCGGTCAAGGCCTTCTCTTGAGTCATTGGACCTTGACGATCAGAACCTGAGATTAAACCTTTGACAACTCTGATTTAGGAACCGTATTGCATATAGACGCTAACACGCACACATACACATACGCATACACTCGAGCAAAAGTAGCAGGACCAGTATGAAAGATAATTAGCCAAACCATTCCATATCTATTTTCTAGGTTTTTAATTATCTTTTGGCTTAATTGATTCTTCATAAGCGGTAAGATAGAGCCGGATAGTTTTCTTGGCCTAGTGTTAACATGTCCATTGAATGATGGACGAAAGCTCAGCCCGTTTTCACTCGAAACGAGGGAAGAAGTCTCGTATAAAAGCCAAACGGTTGCAATACGACGCGATTCAGCCGTCCTCTTCTGGCGAGATCGAACTACGAATCTCCTTTTCATACACTTTCATACGATTAATCGAAACCCAGTTTCTCTTCGTAGGTATGTTTAGTCATAGAGATGGTGCTAACTGTGTAGGAATGAGATACACCGCAAGCCCGTTTACACCCCAACAGAAGCAGGATGTTTGATAAACTGTATCAGCCTAAGCATCACAGAAAAGCCAAATGTCTGTATTGAGGTGAGATCGTCCTATGAATCCCTGCGTCAAACACACTTGCACACGACATGAAAGTGAGCAACGGATCTGGCGGCTGCCAGATCACCAACACGTACCATCACGACTCGGGCAAAAGTACTAAAACTAAAAGCAATATTCAACCTAGGTCGCATAAAGTGACAAAAACACTGATGGGTCTCACAATGCCATTAAATTTCACTTAACCTTGGAAGTCGCCAGTCCTCTGTGACTGATCTTCATTGTCCTTGAAGAACAGATCTCGAACTTCCTTTGACTAATGGGAGTTTAGAGGAAGAGGAAAAGTCACAAAGTCTTGAAGTGAAAGTTCATCGCATCGTGACACCGTCAGTCTTTCATCACCCTTTTACAAGACCGAGTGGTCGTTTGGACACCGACCCAACACGAATGTGTGAACTCGGGTTAAAGGGGACAAGTGCACACACACTCCGTGTCTGTCCAACTCACCGGCCCGAGAGGCATCTCGTTGGGGAGTCGGATGGCAATTCGTTGCTGGCCGGTGTCGCCGACGGCTTCTGCCGAAGAGCCGGGCGAGCCCGACGGTGTGAGGACGGACACACGGTGCGAGGGTAGTGGAGAGAACGAGTCGAGACGGCCGTGGGCCGACAGAGCCTCGCAACTGGGCTCCGACGCCAGCAGGCCCCTCGAGACGGGGGTCAGAGGGCTTGCGGGAGGATCGAGTCGGCGGGAGGGCTCATGCTCGACGGAGAGGCAGGACGAGTCGGACGAGGAGTAGGGGATGGCGGAAAGTGACTCGATGGAAGATGAGTCGTCCATGGGCAGAGGTCAAAGTTCGCGGTTGGCAAGACAGGCGACACCTGTTGCCTACTTCAGAGGAGGAAATACGAGACAGTCGGAGACTTGGAGACTTGACGCCCGTCAAAACGGGTTTATAACCCCTATGGGAAAGGGAAAAGGAAATTTAGAAGAGGAAATGCAGAAAGAAAATTAAGCATCAAGAAGTCGGCCCTCCTCTGAGGTCTACTTTAGTGACTGTGAACAAACTCGACTACCAGTCCTCGATTCATCCCAAGCGAGCTGGGCTGAGAACTTCTAATTCAAGAAACACTGTCGGTATCGTTAACTACTTATAAAAAAAGAAGTAATGTAGTCGATTTTAGAGGCAAACGCATGCTTGCCTAATCGACAATGGCAATATAAAAATGTGCGCCACGATACTTACGACCCAAAATGAAATCTCGTTGGTGGTGCTGATGAGAAGATGGATGGGGCAGTCCGCCCTAAAAGCGATAGCCTTTTGGGTGATGAGGCTAAGTGAGAATTCATCCATCAGTCCTTAGCTCACCTCAACTGACCTAAGCTGACTAAGTTCCTAACCGGATTTAGATAGAGCCGTTCATAAATTAGTGTAGGCTTCTTATAAAAATTACAAGCAACTGAAACAAATAAACGAAGGTATGAAGACCAAGATGGTGTTGCCTTTTACATAGTTGCAGTCTCCTTTCGTTGTATAGAAGTTGTTTGACCTTGTCTTCGCAACTCGGTCATGTTGGTAGGAAGACTTAAAGAAACGCACCTAGTCCGGAGTCCATTGTATGCATCATCATTTCCAGAATAGGACCCTGGACGTGGTACATTCCCAGACGTTTCGCCGGCATCTTCAGTGAGTATCGCCATTTGTAGCACTATATTACAACTCGTCGAAGAATTTGTCGGCCCAATTTGTTAGGATGAGCTTAATCAAAGGTCCGACGCCAGAGGAAGGCATGACAACAGTAACAGAGGAAGCAAAATGGGCTGAGTATGCTCTTCAAAGTCTCTCTGAGAAGACTACTATGTTGCAAAATCTTGTCTCCTTGACGAGTTATAATATGGTGCTACGAATGGCGATACTCACTGATGATGCCAACTACGATGCCGGCGAAGCGTCTGGGAATGTACCACGTCCATGGTCTTACTTTGGAAATGATGATGCATACAATGGACTCCGGACTAGGTGCTTTCCTCTAAGT